ACATTCACACAATCTTAGAAATACTGAGTTAAATTATTATGTCCCCAGACCCAGAACTGAGTCTGCAAAAGGGAGCCTACACTACAGAGGATCTGTTCTGTGGAACAGGATTCCCTCAGAGATTAGAAAACTGCCTAGTTTAAATGTTTTTAAAACTTCATTTCATGGGAAAGATTTTTCTGATACACCATTGTAACTTTTATTACCAACAATGTAAGTTTTTGTATTTTTAACATTATAGCTAATAGTTCCTTATTATTCATGATGTAAGTTTTGTATTTTTAATATTATAGTCAATAGTTCCTTAGAGTATTTTAGTTTAGTTCAAACACGATTCCTAGGAAGACCATGTAAAATGATACAATTTCGTGTATAAGTAAAGATTGATGATGATGATGATTGCTTAATTTAAATTTCATTCTATTTACAAGATGATCCATCAAACGAGTTTTAGGAGATTTACGACCTGTGATGACATAAACACGATAATGATGAAATTTCTTCCGCCTAAATTTGATTATGCAGGCCACAAAATACATGGAAATTCTAACCAAAGCATTCTGAAGCCCAGTTGTAAAACAACACTACACTATAACCAGTTGTAAAGCATTTAACTGTGGCAATATTATTTTGTCCTTTGCTCATAATTTCAATTTTTTTAGGGGGAATGTGGGCCCTTAAAGGGATAGCTTAGCTCACTCAGGGTGTTCCTCTGATCCATTCAAAGGTTCAACCCTGCCCCCCCTTCCAATGCAACCAATGGCATTTGACTGTTGTTCATGCCTGTGGGTGGGGAATTTGAACTTTGCCTGGATCCCTAATTAAGAAGTGTCAAGTCTTTCCAGCAGAATACGTGTGTTTTATCTTTTAATATGGAGGTGTTTAAAGGTAAAGAGAGAACTTTTGTTTGCAAATGGCATAGAATGAAAAGTCAGCAAGGTCTAGGTTTTAAAGCTAGAAAGCTAGGTAAAATCAATTGATGGTCAATGGATAAAAAGTCATGGTCGCTGTTCTAGTCCTTTTTAGACCGGCAAATTGGGAAGTGTATTTTAATACAATTTTGGCCCAGGGCTGGGAATTTGAATGAACCAGTCTTCAAGTTCAAAAATGCCAGGGGGTTACATGGATAGGAATAGGGGATGTTGAAGCTTCAAATTGATTGACCCATAAGATGTATGAAGAAAAGAATTAAGTGACTGACTTTGTAGCCCTTAACAAGATATGGATTGAAGGGAACTTTTTCTGATAATCCCCTTCCTAAAATGAGCCTCTTGCCTGAGAGTCCTGTAAAATTAAAACAATCCTTGTATTTGTGCACTTTAGATTTTACAAATGGTAGAAATAGTGAACATGAATGAGAGAAATACTGATTAGTAAATGAATTGGTCATAGATAAAAGAGGAATCTGCAAGGACATTGAGTATGAAATAAATTTTGTGATAAACATATGGGTTTCCTGAAATACTGTTTTACCTCCATGTCAAATGACTTTCAATATTTGATGGATCTAAAACTCTATAATTGTAGTGGTGATTCTTACTATTGATTACTGTGTGGAGGTTTGCGTATTCTCAAGTAGAACAGTCCTTAAAGACATTTGAGGAATGTTCATTAAGCGAAACTCTTGCTTGTATGAATTTTATAACATCATGAAGAGGCCTTTTACAATTTATTATTAATAGTTTATGAAATAAAACAGTTGTACCTGCCTGCTCTCTTAAGATGAGCACCTTTACTTAATAAACATATCTCTGCTATAATTATCACCCATTGTATTAAACATTATACCCGTTGAATCATATAGTCCTGAATATGCTGAATTAATCTGTCATCTGTGGTTACTTTGCAGATTGCTCACAAGCACTTGGTATGGAAAGTGGGAAAATCAGTGATTCCCAACTAAGTGCCCCACCTAGTTTTGTTGGCACTAGTCCTTGGGATGGAAGACTAAATAATGATAAGGCCTGGTGCACTGGTAGTTACAAAGGATTCCTTGAGATCGACTTAAAGGAGGTCAGGCATCTGTCAGCCATTGCCACTCAAGGTTTTAGAGGAACCTTTGAAAACTATGTAATAACATTTGAGATAGAGTACAGTTATGATGGTGGAACATGGTTTGAATACAAAGATGAAAATGACAAAAAAAAGGTACTAAATATTTAACTATGATATGTTTAAATTTCCATTTTTCCATGAGTATTACATTACAAGATGATGGTAATTACTTAATGCTTCTAAAAAAACTATAAAAAAAAATTCGATTGTATCTTAGGGGTCATGCAAAATTATATTTCATTAATTTTAAATGGCCTCTGACAAACTTTCAAGGACAAACTTTCAAGTACAAACTTAAGATATATCAATTTAACCAAGCAGGTGGTAACAGTAAAAAACTTTTAATAATAATAATGATTAAAAATAATTTCTTATTTATATTGCACAAATTAACATGTGGATATGATCAAATGCACATCACAACACTTTTCGGGGGACTTTGGCCAGACTGCACCAGCAGTTTACAAACAATCGAAGGAAACCTATTTGAAGATTCCCCTTCCCCCCAATTCCCAGTAAACAGGCCAGACCACATCACAGTAATCTCGTGAGTGGGTTCTTTAACGTCCCCTGCCTAACTAAATTAACTAATTAATAGATGCAGGAGACTTTACTACCATAATGATGCAAGGTTAGAAGAAAATATTGACTGTCAGGCTTAAAAGCTTGATGAATAAAATCACTTCTGCTCCCCCCTCCCCCTCTTAACCCTTGTGCCTCACCCATATTGTTCTTTTTTTTAATTTGATCAAAGTTTACTTAACATTATAAGGTGTTTCTTATCTCAAAGACGACTTTTAAAAGATCAGCAAAATTTTCAGACTGCCTAATATCATTAGGTAAGGAATTCCAACTTTTTGGTTCTTGAAAAATACAGTCCATAAAAAGAATTAATCTTGAAGATATCCAAGATGTTTGATTTAAAAAATAATGGAGCAGTATGAGCACGAAAGTGAACATTAAATATAATTTAAGCAGCAAGTCATTGGAACAGTAATAGTTGGTTCAGATCTGTTGCAAGTAGAAGACCATTAAGCTATGGTGCAGTAAGTTAAGTAGGGGCAGAGTAAGGTGTAATCAAAACTTAAGATAATTTAGTTTTTGCTGTGATAAGTAATGAGATGCACTGGAGATTATACCCAGGGTCTTAGATATATTTTTCAAAAAATGCGATTAATATGAGATTTCAGGAAAGATTTTCATGGATCAATTATGCAACTTGTAGTTTACAATTGTATCTGGAAACCCACCAAATGAAATAAATTGATCTTTACTTGTATGTATCAACTGCAAAGCCTTTTTCAATTTTTTCTCCTTTGTTATCAGGAGGAATTAATTAATCAAGACATTCTGCATTTTCAATATTTTTTTTCTTTTAAATAAATGTTTTATTTGATGTCTGCTTTCAGAAATTTACTGGAAATGGTGACACAGACACCATAAAATACAACAACTTCAGAGGGACTTTTGAAACAAGAATCCTTAGAATATATCCAAAAAGGTATAACAGAGCAGGATTTAGATGTCTCAGAGTTGAAGTGTATGGATGTTCTGACAATGCCGGTGAGTGAATTCTTTAGATTACTTGCTTTTTTGTTAACACATTAAATCAGTGAGTTTAAAGAGTTTACAGAGCTTAATGCGTGCTGACTCTTTTGCACAAGTCCAGTTGGGATCCTTTACAAATAGGAGATGCAGGTTTCTTCAAGGAAGCATTATTAGGCTCAAAATTAGAAAACAGATCATGTTATGATATTTGATATTTCATTTGGCCGAACTACAGAATTATGTTCCAGCGTTGCATGGAATTATGTTCTACTCTTTTAACTTCAATAATTGCGATACGATTTCTGTTATTACGTAGCTCTCAATTGTATTCGGAAGCTGCCGAATAATTTTTTATTGTCTAAATTATATTCTCCATTTTCGACTTTTATCTTCCCTGCGGCCGAATTTTTACCTTCTGTTGTTCGATATGACATGCCAAATTATGTTTTCATTTTCTAAATTATGTTTTCGATCTTCACTGAATTATGTTCGGCTTATTGACTGGGCATCGCAGTAAGAAAGCAACGAGAAACCCTGGGACGGGAAAAACTCCCCCCTTTCGTAATTTATATTCATAATTAACAAGTCCGAAGTCTTGGTTTATATGGAAATGGCAGAGGAAGGAAGGTAGAAAGAGGGACCACGAAGAAGCTGAAGATGGAGAGAAGGCGAACAAAAGTCAGAAGGCAATAAGGCTTCTGAGAGAAGTCATGACTTAGTTGACCGAGTCGGTTAACGAGGGGGAAGCGAAGGAGTCGCTGTAGTTCTTCACGGGACTTCCCCCTCGTTAACTGACTCGGTCAACAAAGTCATGACTTATTTCAGATTACTGATCTCGCGCAAAACGGGACGCCACTGTCACAAAACAAACAGAAATTTCTTTACCTTGGCAGCCGTTGCTAAGCGATTTTTAGCCAATCATTTTCAAGTAATTTTGCCCAGGGCAATTACAAAAATTAAGTAAAAATGCCCTCTGTTCTGTCCAATCACAATTCAGTAATTTTGCCCCTTATATGATAATGAATAATTACAAAAGGCGGTAGTTTTTCCCGTCCCAGGGTTTCTCGTTGCTTTCTTACTGCGATGCCCAGTCCATCAGCCGAACATAATTCAGAGAAGATCGAAAACATAATTTAGAAAATCAAAACATAATGGCAGATATTAGATCTGAGCCCGAGTACAAGCGGTTTTGTTTAAAGGTGCACGGAATTGAGGCACTTGGGCCTAAGGCTTTGTAAATTCTCAAAGGTAACTCTGTATATTTAAAAACAACTCGCATTTTACGCTATTTTTTTACTTTTATCGAGAATCTGAAGCACTCAAAAGGCAACGATAGCAATAGTTAGACATTTTATTGCATTCGGATGCAACAACCGGAGCGATAAACCACACTGCAACATCTTGGCCGGAAAGTCATCATCAATCAAGCGTCTTTCCCTCGGAGCCTTCCTTTTGGTTTTCTGTTCGGAGAAACTGAATATTGTCGGAACTGAGTCTGACTTAAGACTTACTTTCCGGCCAGCATATGACTTGGATAAGTTTTCCTTTTCAAAATGTTCACTGCATAAAAGAAATTTTTACTTACGGGCGTGTTTTCCCGTTTAATCTTGACTAGCCAAGTCGCCAGAAGTTTCTTGTTGCTCAGTGGCAGTGAATGCCACGAAAGATGCTTGCAATGTGGTTTATCGCTCCGGTTGTTGCATCCAAATGCAATACAATGTCTAACCATTGCTATCCTTGCCTTTTGAATGCTTCAGATTCTCGATAAAAGTAAAAACATTGCGTAAAATGCGAGTTATCTTGAAATATACAGTGATACCTTTGAGAATTTACAAAGCCTTTGGCCCAAGTGCCTCGATTCCCTGCATCTTCAGACAAAACCGCTTTTATGCGGGCTCAGATCTAATATCTGCCATGAGTGTGTTTTCAACAAGAACAATGGAATCACAGTTTCCTTGAAGGTTTCCTTTGTGGTTTTAGATGGTTTCAGGTGGTTTCAGGTGATTCCAAGTTTTAGCACCTATGTTGCGTCAACCTGTCCAGCCATATAGCATGGGTCTCATGATAAATAAGAATTTGTTTTAAATATGAACAGCCAGCTAGAAGATGGTGTACTTGAAGACACTAATGCCATGAAATAGAGTGGAAACTTACAGAAGTAGATGGTTCATGTTCCAACTGCCATCATAGAACCCTACCGGAGCTCCTTTAAAAAGTTTGCATTCCATGGTTGATGTTGATTATTAGGCTAGAACTTGTCAAAATAGATGGTTGATGTGTTGTAATTTTATTTTTTTTCTCAGTTTGCTCACTTTTCTTTGAGTGGCCCTTTTTTCTGAAATCCCTTAACCTTGCAAGTGGGGGAAAGGAGAATATCAATTCAGCTAATATCTATCAAAGCTGTCAAGTTGATACTGGAAGTGCAGGGTACTACAATTATCAACTGGAAAACAAGTGGATGGGAATAAACCAAGACATCTTTAAAGTGGTAGACGTGCAGGGAGAACTAGTTTTCAAGGTTCTAACTGTATCCAGGGTTTGTGAAAGATTTTGCATGAAGCAAGCCAGTGGCTCAGCAACTAATAACCCCTGACTCATAGCCCCTAACAAACCTCACAGCTCAGTGGTCCTTCACTCACTTCACAGCAAACAAAACTGTTGCAAAGCTAGATTGGAAATGATTGGACCTCGATCATGCTAGGAAACTTATCATAGTCTATCTTGAATTTTTAAGATAGGCTTCACAGAGCTCATGGTATTGGCATTAGCATATTACCAAACAGCTTTGAAATGGGTTTCAAGGCTGTGGAGTGGGCTGAGGACCTCTGTCATTGCTGCAGACTGTGATGTGGATCACAAGCATTTCAGTAGGTTGTGGGTAGCTGGGCTAGCTTTTTGCAAAAATTGAACTGTAAAGAGTCTGAAATAGGGAGGTCTCAAAAGTGTGGTGATTTGTGAACTAACTGTGGAAAATGTGTGGAAAGTAGATAATTTTATGAAGTCTTCAAACGTTGAAAGACATCTTGTAGTGTTTCTTAATTACTCCTAAATTGCTGGATTAGACTGTTTTGAGGCAGCTGAATTAAGATGGCTTGGTTAACAATGGCTAGAATGTTTTTGGAGAATTATGAAGAACTTTCAATTTTGGGCTTAAACCATCCCTAGCTATCATGATTATGCTCAGAGCTCTGTATAGATTAATTTATGTTGTGGTCATTTTGCTTGCATTTGGTTAGTGGGCAGATACCAGAGACAAGAACCTGTTTGGCAGAATTGTACAGGTAACAGCGACTTGTAACTATTCAGCATCTGCAACTCGACCACCCAAAACTGCTTGTCTGATTTTTAAGACCTCAGGGCAAATTATAGGTGAGTGTTTCGTCATTAGAATTTTTAAGAATCATAGCTTTCAACCTGCCGGATAAAGAGCTCAGAAGCAGCTTAGGAACTGTCTTTTAAAGTTTAGAATTCTCAGTTTGGGGTAATTAGTGAAAACGTAAAGGGGTATTTATCCTAATGTTCCTTTATTTATTTGATAGTTGTGAAGGCTATAACCACGTAACTTGCATGGAAGTAGATTTTATGGCTCAACATAAAATACTGATTCCTGTAGCATGAGGCAAGTTGGAACATTTGATACTCTTCCTGCACTGGAGGCCAATTTACTACTGTGCTACACTTGCAGTATTACCTCAGGCTTACTTACAGTTAGCAAGTACCCATTTCTACTCCTGATCTACTCCTGTGAGGAGAGAGAGAGACTGGGTGAGGGGTTTAGTGCCTTCCTCTTAGAATGCCACCCTGATGACTTAGTCTAGCAGTGGGCTCAAACCCAGATGTTTTGGTTAATTACCATTTCTGACAGCAAATCTGTAACAATAAATCATTTTTTGAACTGGATGTCTTGTTAATTATTGGTTGGGGCTAGTTAACATGAAATGGACGAGCATCTTATTGAAGAGGGGAGGGGATGCACTGCTATTTGTTACAGTAACAACTAAGGGTAAACTAAAAACCATAACATTTTTATGTGGCTTCGCCTCCTGTAGGAGGCAGTGGCCACAAAAATGAAGAACTTTCAAGCCATTGCTGAAATGAGTATCCATTACCTTTCAGTGACACCAAGCACTGTGGCAAAGACTACACCAAAGAGGGCAGTGACTGTTTTTACAAAACCAACAGAGCCTTCTAAGGTGTGAACCAAAATTTTACAATATCCGTATTAAGAAAAGTGGCTCAACTTTGATAATGATAGGCTTTGTTAGACAAGTGAAAAATGACCCTATATGGCCATTTTTGAACAATGGCGCAACAGCTTCAGAACACGAGGGATTTGTCAAAGTTTCCGATTAACATACGAGCGGGAAATTTAAACGCTTGGAAAGACTAGACTTTAGTTTAGAACTATGACAGTGTCTGGAGAAAGATTTATATGGAGAGAGGTGGTCTGAATGAGACACATAACGTATTTTGAATTCTTGACGAGTGCTTTGCCACATTAGCGGTCAATTTTTTCCTGGGGTAGACCATTGAGAGTTGACTCGACAAAACAAATTTACAATACCCACTCCCCCAAAGCGGCTAAATCAGCATTAAATTTTCCCTTGGGGTACTCCGGTGACAATTTACCTGTCCTGTGCAAATATGCGCTACCTACTCTTCCAAAATAGCTAAATTGTCATGCCAAAAATTTTTTTCCAATTAGTCACAAACTTTTTTGTGCCGCTTTGGCCAAAGTCCCTCACCACCACAAAGAACGAAAGGGCTATTGTTTACTACTTAATGTCATAAGTTGAGCCAGAACAATAGACCATTTCTTGATATGCAAAAGGCTGTCATCGACATTGACTTGAAAGGTTTGTAGACCACCCACCTCTACTCTTGATTAACAAACTTTTCTCCTATTCTTCCAATGTCAATATCCCAAGTGGGTTATTATGGCAATATATAAACCAATAAAAACTCTGGCCTATTACTTTTAGAAGTTCGACTGTATTTACATAATCCATCTCTAGCCACTGGCACTGAGTTCAATAGTTGTTATTACTAAAACAGTAACATATCATGGCAGAAAAATATATTTTGTATCTCTTTTATTCTTACAATGGTTACAATATTTTTGGGCGAAATCCTGCGTTGTTTGCTCAGAGGTGAACAAACAAAGGATAGTCAGAGTTTGTGTAGCCAATCAGAACACTTCTATGCTATCCACTGTTTTTAGTTTCTACTAACAGATGCTATTCCTTGCAGACATCTCTAGTGACTGAACCTTTTGGAAACTCAGGTGACAAAGACACAAGAACGAACGAGAAGAATGGTGGATCTGGAGTTTTGATTGGTGTTGCTGTGGCATGTGCAGTTGTGCTTGCAATTGTCCTTATTGTTCTTGTTGTGTTTTGCAAGAGGAGAAGATCGTAAGTCTGATTCATCTACATGACTACATACACATGTAACCATTTTCTCAAGATTTCAAGCCATCAAGATGTTGCTAATAAGTAATACAGTTAATGTTCGTGAGCATAAAATTGTTTTCGGCGCGACTCAGAATCAAGGGCTAAGATGACTTTGAGAAGGACCCAAAACATGTATATGCCCAAGAACATTGTATTTCTATTATTATCACCTGGAGGGAATTGAGAAAATAAAAACTGAAAAAAATGACAAACAATTATGCAAGTGTGCCAGCAGATTAAAATATATTTGAACCTCGCCAAAATCTTTATTTTAGCTCGCAGAATATGCCACAATGCCCTATAAATGTGGAATAATTATCATTTATTGTCCTTGAAAGTATCCTCTGTCACATACTTGATCGCTTTTTGTGGCAGTCTTTTTGACAATGTTGTCACACATTTTTGAATCTCTATACTTATCACTGACAACTTTTTTTAACCCAATGATTGAACAAGATTGTTTGTACACAGTTTCTTAGCAAAAGTTTTACCTTGAATTTTCTTAACAAGTAATTCTTTTATGAACTTTACTAAAACAGAAATATAATGAGTCAGTTTCAAGTGTAAAATTTTCCATTCTGAATATTTTATGTGTTGGAATTTTATACATAGGAAAAACAGTCAGCAAGGAACACCATCATCAGGTAAAATATCTTTTATTAGCATAGTCAGGGCTGTTGAGGCCCTGCCATGAGGCAAGACAAGTCAATAGGCCATTTTACAGTTGTGTACTTAGTTGCTAAGCCTTTGATTCAGAGTGAGGCTGAAGGTGACCTTTTTGTTATAGAGACCTGTATCTACTCAGCATGATAACAAAGTGATTTACATTTGAAAGGCAGCAAGGTTTGTATCATAACAAGGTCAACCCTAGCCTCACTCCCATTCAAAGGCTTGGCAACCAAGCACACAACTGTAAAATGGACTATTGCCACGTCACGTCTTGATTTTGGCCTTTTTTATTTCTTTAATTTTTTTTTTCGAAGATTGACTTTGAAATAAAAGATAGCGCTAAGAAGTCACGACGTTTCCACCTCTCCGTGGTCATTTTCGAGTGAGTAAGTTTTCCAAATCAGCATAAATATGTTAAGCAAGCTGAAGACGATAAAATGTGGCGAACGCTAAAAATATGTGAAAAAGTGTAGACAATACACAATGGAAGAGAATAAACGAATAAAGGAATAAAAGAATAAAATAATCGTAGCACGAATTGTTGTAAACAAATAGTTTGGCGCGAGTTGAATCGCATTGTTTGTTTAGCGTTGGTTTCAGTTCTTTGATAAAAAAAACATTTAAAAAACAAGACGGTCAAAATTGTTCTGACAATTCGTAAAGATTCGAAAACTCTGTGTGATGTCTTCTGGTAACTGCTAATTCAATTCGCGCCACACTATTTGTTTAGAACCACTGCCAGAAACTTGGGTCAAAATACCAGACGCGCGTGCGTATTGAGAAGTTAATGGCGGCGAAATCGTGTAAGGAATTGTATGGGATTTCCACAAAAATCCAAAATACCACAAATACGAGTAAGATTATTCCTTACCTCCGACTCGAAACATGTTCAGTAAAGATTAAGCTGTACTTCTCACATAAAAATAATTCAAAAGCTGTTTGTCTACTTACTTCTAGCGAAGTCAGCAATGTTCGATATTCGAGGCTAGCCATTNTTATGGTATATCAGCCAATATACCATAATCTACAAATATGGCCATCGTAAGTGTCAGCTTAATATTAAAAGGGAGCTAAAAATTTAATAAAATTTTATACTTAATTTAACGTTTTTAATAAAACAATTATTCCACTCGCTCTTGTTGGATATGAGATGATTATAGCCAACTCAGCGCTACGCGCTTCGTTGGCTATCTATCATCTCATATCCAACGCGCGCTTGTGGAATAATTTTTAAATATACATACCTACATATATGTATGTTATATGCATGAAAGTGTGTTGAATCATTATGGCTCTTGTATATTGAATAGGTAAAGTATTTATTGCACCTTCAACACTTGCTTGTAGATTAGCCAAACTATGTGACATGCGTTATGTGACGTGTACTGTCTTTTAATTAGTTAAAAAATGCATGTATAAGTTTTCCGTACAAGAAGATAATTTTTGAAACATGCAGTTTCTAAAAAATAAACGTAAACTTCGTTAAGCATTGGTAAGAGTCTATAACCCAAAATGAGTGTCCTATTTATACAACCATTATTGAAATAGTTTTTGAAAAACATGATAACCATGCCGTTGTAATTGCTGTGATTTGTTTGCAATCCTAGTGAGGAATCCTGCATTGACTGAAATTTATGATGAAATTCAAATGGAAAGACTAACAGAGGGCCTCTCAAACTCGAGTGAACAAGACAATCAATCAACCTACCAAGAACTTGTTAAAATTAGGGGTGAGTTTGTTTTGATAATCTGTGTCATGATTGCTCTGACAAAGGGATGATGCTTGAAACTTCAGCTTTATAATCTCTATAGGCAGGTGGTCGATTCTCGTCATCACTGAACTCAATTGATAAAACTAAATTAGGAAAGCATAACTCAGATTGCCATTTGTTGGTACCCTTTGGAGAATGCTGCGATTAGTCCGATCATAAGTAGCTTAACTAAGTTTAAATCTCTTCCTGTGATTGGTCTCTCCAGTTGTATATGATCATTGCACCCTTAAAATTTTTGTTGGGTCCTCATTTTACCTCTCTTGGCTGCAGCCCTCTTCCTTTCCATCCAATATGGAAAAAGATGTGAAAAAATCAAATTTTCTTTGATTGGGAAATGTGGTGGTATTGTTTCTTGGATTGCAAAATAATCGCAACTAATTTTTTCAAGGTTCTTAGAACTATTAATTATGAACAGCGATGAGGCCTTTACTTCTTCAGACGATTTTCTTTGAGAGCTCTCCTCTTTCATACAGCCCAAAAAAAATGTTAGAAGAACAGACGACTTCTTTAGATGTGTGTTACCTTAAACATAAATTGGGATTTATGTTAACTCCTTTGGGAGAAATTGCCATATGTGACAATTTCATGACACCCACAAGCAAAGTTGAATCTTGTCTATCGTGGACTCTCCACCAACTGGTGCATCTTCATTTCAGATAAGTCTGATTACTTACTTCCATTGGAAGAAAGAGGACCTGCAGACTTTAAATCAACATACCAAGGACTCGTTGACATTAGCGGTTAGTTAACAACTTCCATCACTCTGGTGAAGGTTTAACGGTCGAAACGTACGCCAGTTTTATAACCTCTCTGTGGTAGATAACTTACATCATCAACTCAGTTGGTGAAAACAAAGTATCTAAGAATAACTCGGATTCTTGTTGGGGGGTCCCAGTCAAAAGCATTTTGTGATTACAATATGATTACAGAACATACGTGATCAGAGGAGGCATCTCTCTTTTTAGCGTGAAAACATGATTTGAAGTAGCGCTATGAGCCCTTGGTAGGAAAGATCAAGCATTGATGTGATTGCTCACCAAAGATGTGTCCACCTGTGTTCAGTTATCATGGAACTATTAATGTGAAAACTGACTTTTGACCGAGACTGGCATGGAAAACAGACATTTCAATTTGCTCATAGACAATTAAATTATTTAGACTCAAGACATGTTATATATCGTGGACTCTTCTCACGCTGGTGCATCCTCATTTTAGATCAGTCCGGTTACTTACTTCCGGTAGAAGAAACAAGACCTGCAGACTGTCAATCACATGCAGCTGTTTACAGTGAACCCTCAAGTCCAAAACTCCTAACAGGTATATTTGAAAACTGTTTCTTTTCAAGACAGTTCAGATAGAGTTGTGGGTGACAACATATTGGCCTGCATGTTTAACTCTTATGTGTGGGTTCAAACCCTTGGCTGGTCTGAGTATGTCACATTCTTGGTCGGGGGCAATGTACTTCAATTTCCCAACACATGTACCTATCTCCAACAAGAGTGTTTTATTTAAAATGAATTCAGGTAAACTAAGAGTGATATGGGCCACTAATTGACCCCTGTGGATAATACTGCAATCAGTCCAACCATGTGTTGTTTAGTTTCAATCCCTTGCTGTCATTGGTGTCTCCCTTCGTATTTGATCTTAAATGCACTCTTGACTAATTTATGGGTCCTCGTTTTGCCTCTCGTGGCTCTCTTCATGCATTGAGATACGGAAAAGATGTGAAAAAGTCAAACTTTCTTGAGTGGAAGTAGTTTTTTAGTAATATATTTTCTAGGACTGCTAAATAAAAACAATTATTTTTTTTTCAAGGTTCTTTGAGTTATTAATTGTTAACTGAAACTGTGATAAGCCCTATTTCACGTCTTCAGACATTATCTTTATGATACCTTTCCCCTTTCATGCAGGGAAAAACCTTAAAACTATCAGACAACTGTAGATGTGTTTTGTTACACAAAGAGATTTATGTTTAGTCTTTTGTAGAAATCGCCTCGTCCAACTATTTTATGATACCCATAGGCAGATTACTTGAATCTTGTCTAGGGTTGAACCTTCTCACGCTGGTGCATATTCATTACAGATCAGTCTGGTTATTTAATTCCAGTGGAAGAAACACGACCGGCAAACTGTCAGTCAGACAATCAGACAATTGGTAAATCAGCCATTTACAGCGAAGCCCAAAGTCCACAACCACCTCGGGATAAACAAAGGAATGAAGACTATCAGTACGATTATGCTGAACCAGATGGAATCATTGTGTTAGCTACCATTCGCACCAGTTTAGAAAATCTTGACTCCCTAAGAGATCCTGATTCGCAGCCTGAAGAAGAAAGCTATGTTGAAACTAGAGAAGCTGATATTCCTTCGTCACCAATATCCACAACTGTTGAAAGACCAAATTTTCCCAGATCATCAGAGGTATCTTCAAAGGGCCCCTCGCAAGATAATAACTGTAATGATTCATTGCAAGCAGATGGTTATATCGAGGTTCTCCCACAATGTGATGATTCTTTGCAAGCAGAGTATTATATCGACGTTCTCCCAGATTCAGAGAGTGGAACGTAAAATTAGAGAGAGATGCTGATGTCCTTTCGTCACCATTATCTACAACTCCAAGGACCCAGTTCACTTAGACTACCAGGGGCTTCTTCAGAAGCGCCCTCACAAGACAAGGAGCAAATGAATCATAGAAAACGGATGATCATATTAAAGTTTTCCGAGATTCAGAGATTGAAACATAGATGTAGACTTTTTTACATCTACCGAGTGGAAATTCTCAGTAGAGGTCAATTGATCGAACGGTCTCTAAGAAAGAGGGCTCCCAATGGAAATCGGGCTGTATTTTGTTTTCTGGTGGAGGCAGTGTGCTCGGATGGTTGGGGCACTGGAGTTGTAATCTGGTGGTTCCGGATCTTTTCATGGTTGCCCCGAGTTCAACACACTGGCTGCACTTTGTATATAGCCAAGTGGAATGTCTCCCGCCAGTTGGGTCTTTTAAAGACACTTTGTTTATGCTTCTCTTCCCTAAATTGAGGATATTGTCAAGCATGTACATAATTTTCAAACTTAAAAAAAAGGAAAGAAAGGGGTTGAGTCAGTACGTCTCGGTAAAATATTTTGAAATTTCTTGTCTTGAATATCTTGAATATTTTGAATTAGTATAATTGCTAAGGTGATCATCAGTAGAGATTCGCGCACTCTGATTGGTCAAGGGTTGCGTCATATCTTGCCGTAATCTTATCGTTCGAGGTGATTATAGCAGGAGCGCTAACCCTCAAATTGGCTGCGTCGCGTTTTGTTTATGTTCCCGAGGAAGTAATAATCACGACAGAAGAAAATTCAATGACAATGACCACAAAAGATGCCACTGAGTTTGCGGAACACTTTTCAAACTGAAAGATGTGAGGTTTGTGCTGACTGATTTAAATAAACCTGTTAAAACTGCTCTCTCATCTTGATACAAGTAAGCAAAAAGGCACCAGAATTGGAAAAAAATATTTCGAATGCCCTCTTTATTTACAGAATTTATAGGGTATTCGAACACTTGTACAATTATACTAAGACAACTATTCGCCTCAATAATTTCCTCAACCCCGTATGGGAGATTATTTAACAATTATTCCACGAGCGCGCGTCGGATATGAGATGTATATATATAATATAATCATCTCATATCCAACAAGCGCGAGTGGAATAATTGTTTTATTAAAAACGCCCCCAAGAAATTATTATTTTGTAAGAAGAAACCGGATGTTACAATGTACAGATATTAGATTATGGTATATTGGCCCATATACCATACTGGCTAAGCCAGTATGGTATATGAGCCAATATACCATAATCTAATATCTGTACATTGGCTCATATACCATAATGGCTAAGCCGATAAAAAGTCTTGAATTGCATTATCCAATGATCCAGTTTTTAACAATTAACATTATTCACTGAGCCCTCAGAGAATAATATAAACACATCAAAAATGATACTCACCGTTCGAAAAGCGAAGCGAAAACAATTTTTTCCTTCATTTACGAGACCTGCGTGGTAAATTTACCATGTTAGTTACTAGAATTTACGCCCAGAAAATTACGTAGCTATAGAGTTGTGTTAAATATTATGTTGGCCGTGCGTACATAGAGATTACACTATTATGATAGTAGTTGTTGAGGATTATTAAGTAGGACTTGCATCCGCAGTATGTTATAATGTTGTTTGTCTAAGCGACTGGTATCTTAAGGTACGAGTCTAATCCAGAGATTACTAAATAAGTACTTACCATTTTGTTTCAGTTTTTCTTGTGGTTGAACAGTTCTTCTTGCAATTTAGTGTCGATAACTTTTGTGACGACAAGTTCTGATTGCTATTTTACCAAACTTTTTAAATATTGTTACGGTTAATTCGGATGGCATCGATACATTGTATACAGTTTTGTTAACAAAAAGTTTAAAATTGACAAAAAGGGATTTTTTTAAATTGTTCAAGGTTTTCTGCGAAATAGTAAGAAAAAAATGACCTTTAGTATAACGGTTATTCTCTGTAAAGAAAGATTGCTTATGTATTAAGAGACAAATGTCTCTCTAAAAAATGTGCCTGTTTACAAAAGGAAAATTAAAAATGTAAAATTTTTGAAGAAATGGTCGTAACTAGTAGTTAAGTTTTTAGCCATTGATGTAACTCGTGCAGAGTATCTAAACAGATTTTATTGTTCGAGTAATTTTTAATTTTGATTGGTTTGTCTCAACTTTGGTTTCTCATTGGGTCAGGGATGCCCGCGCCATCTTTTCAACCAGTCAGATCCAAATATTGAAACCAATCGCGATGGGTTTCTTTCCATTTTCCCGCGCTTTATGCCGGTGCCTTGAACTGACTTTGAGTCCTCACTGGCTCAGGGAAGTTCGCGCCATCCTCTTAACCAGTTTTCCCGCGCTTTTCGCCTATGACGTGTACTGACCTGAGTCCTCATTGGCTTTCTGTAGTATATTCATTTATTCTGATTGGCTGTTGTGGTGACAAATTTGGTTTTACGAAAGTCATTGCAAAGAGGCTTAAAAGTGTACTTTTTTTACTTAACTGCAACTTCTTCACGAATAGTGCTTTTATGGAACTAATACAACTGTAATTCTCACAGAAAATTAAGAACGCCGATGGTCTCTGACAAAGATTTACTTTTGCTGTTCATCTCGGTGCGCACTATACTCGGCGGAATTTTCATGGCGTTTTTCAGACGAGAATACATGTATGCAAGCTTGAGGTGAGTGCGGAGGACGACATACGAGAGGTGGAGTGTGAAAATAGCATTTTTCATCCCCCCCTTTCGTACGCTTGTCTTCGTTTGCCAGAGAAACGCGAAATAGCGCTAGGTATTAGATTAATAATGACTGTTCTGTGATTCGCCCCGTCACTGTGTTGAGCAACTCAGTGCTCTGTTTCCTCTAAGATAACTTTATTTGAATGTTGTCATATACTGTGCCTTTCGCTGACCGAGGGGGCCGAAAGAGGGGAGGGGAGGGGAGGCACGCGTAAATGGGTAAACAAAATAAAACAAAGAAGTACTCGAGTGATTGAACGGTAAAGCAGTCGGCTATTTGCGTAAGATTTTCAAATTGAAATGCTTCAACTCTACTTCCCAAAATCTTCCGGAAGGTATTTTCCACTATCGGGCCGAAGGCTTATCAAGTCCGGAAGTCAAGAAATTCTGGTATATCATGATCACGCGTGCTTCAGTTAAATGTTTAATGGTAGAAATCTTGTGACGAGTTGCGTAATGGCATATTATGATAACAAAAACCGCAAGTAAAACAGGAAAGAAAAACGCGCTTGAAACTTACTTGAAACTTGCCAAACAAGAAACCACCACATCCGGTTTGGCATTTCATTTTCATGTGGTTGTTTCTGGTAGTTTGGAAAATAAAGAATGCTGGAATTCGGAACCGGAATTCGGAACCGGAATTCCCGGAATGACCAACAAATAGTAAATTTTAAAAAATAAAAGTAAATTAACAAATAAATAAGAATATTGCTGATTAAAACTTGATGGTAAGTTCCCAATTTAATTAAATAATTTAATAGGAAATTTTTCTCT